GCATGTCATCAAGTTCTTTTTTTGTGAATGAATATTAATTGAGACAGCTTTTTAATGATTCTGAAATCTGAGACAGTTAGTATGGCTTGTGCCATGCAGACATGTCAGATGCGTGCCAAAATAAATTTAACTAAATAAATAGAAAGATAGTGATAAATTGGTTTTAAAAAAATGACGCTTTAAAGGATTAAAGTTCGAAATCATCTGGACTAAAGAGTTCGTGAATGAATGCATGGAATAATCTCACCATTACAGCACAAGCTGGATGAGAAGAGATTCGAATTTGCCAGAGAGATGAATAACAGAAACAATGTCAAATTGAAGCATCAAAGGAAGACTTAGACAAGTACACGTTTTTTTTTCATACTGGTGATAATCTGGAAGTTCTTACCTTGACATTTACAATATTGCCTTGAGATGTCCTCCCACTTGGAAGAACTGCAAGTTGTTAGTCATAGCAGTTTCACTCTGTGGAGAGAGTTTTAAGGGAGCTATGTTATTACTATAGTGGTAAACACTCCTCCATGTACTGAGAAACATTTACTTTTGAAGTAACGTCATATTCTTTGGCAGCCAAGGATCCTGAGAAAGAAAAACCAGGCCTCAACCAACATGTTCTTTGGCTCCCTGTACTCAGCACCTGAAAACCCACCACACATTGAAAGGCTAGAATTTCAGTTGGTCCTTCAGGGAACTGTTTTCATGTGGAATTAGAAATTCAACTGAATTTCTAGTGTTGGATTGTTGTACAATTCTGCTGACTTTTTCAATGAGACAGTCCAGCCTCAAGATATCCCAGTTACAGTGTAATGGTTGTAAGTGTAATGTTGAAGTGAGTAGTCAACACTCCATTCATTTCCACCGCTCAACACTGTATCAAAAGAAAGATCATTCATTCATATAATTGGATAAAGACACGAGGGGAAATGTGCACAGTACTGGGAAAGAGCAGAAGAATGAGATTAATAGGTTATTCCTGCCAAGAGCCAAAACAGGCCTGATGGGCCAAATGTCCTTTGTCTGTGATGCAAGACTCCAAAGGTGGACACTTCTGGGTCCACCACCTGGGACTTTAGAAAGGGTGGGCAAGGAACCTAATTGGATGGGAAGCAAAAATTCAGTTTCTCAACAGCAGGTTAAATTTTTGCTGTTAATTTCACAGTGTTCTTCAAGTGGGTCAGCTTTTCTGGCCTTGATGATTGGAAGCCACTTTTGCCTGCATTAGTAAGCTATGAACACTTATTAACACCCAGCCATTGGAGTGACAATCACAGGTGCACTTGTGTTACACCAAAACTGGAAACACTTGTATTCACCAACCCAACTATATATATGAGTGTGTACCTGGCAGGGTAATCTTCTTTCTTCTGATGCGTACTTTTCCAGTAACTTGATTCCTTCACAGCTAAGTTGTTGTCTTGTGCAAGTGCTGACAGTGTAGGAAGTGAAGCCTGACTGTTTAATCAGCTAAAGAGAAGTTCTTGGTCAAATGTTGTCTTGTAGTTCTTAAACGCACATAATGGAAGTGGTGAAACACATGACGTCAACAAGCTCATAAAAAGTCTTCAGAAGAAAAGTCGTATCAGACTCCAAACATTAATTCTTAATCTCTGTCCACTATGCTGCTGGGTTTCTCTGGCATTTTTTTGTTCTTGTTTCTGGGTACCTGGAGTTTGGAACAAAGACCAGAAGAGTCAGCCAAAGTTCTGTTTGATGTCGTGGCCCTGTTGTGGTAATGGATGACTGTTCCTGTGGAATGGATGGCAGCCACGATAGACAGTCAGATCCAGCTGAGGAATCAATACCTGCTACATACACATTCACTCCATCGTTTGAGGCATGGATGCATTCATTCCCTGGCTATCTGAGAGAGTGCTGAGGGACCTTGATCTACTTGATCTATCTCCAGGTATCTCATCCATTTAAGGGGATTGTGCACCAATATGGAGGAGCTGTGCCATGTCCCCTCTGTCAGGGACCCACACCTCCCTCAGGACAGGCTGAGGAGATTTCCAAGAGACATGTCCAAGAGACTCCTTGCAGGCTGGAGACCTCCAGGGCCTGGACCACCAGAGGGTACCCACCATTGTCATCTGAAGCAAGCATTCAGCAGGTTTCCTCAACCATACCTACAGTGTTCTGTAGTGCCACCAAGACTTAGCATCAGGCAAAGAAAAATTAAACAGCAAAGAGTTCACTTTGGGATCGTTGGCACCTCTGATGTATTTTCTCCTGCTTGCCTGTGAATCTTTGTCATCTCATTAATGGCTCATTCTAGAGGCTCACCAGCTGTGTTAGGCTTAGCAGGGGGCCTGTTCACCAGCAGCCTACAGAGTATCAGAGACATCCCCTGCTTTTTCCTCCTGGAGCTGCCAATCGATGTCAGTGCTGCACTCAACAGGATGTGCCCTCAATCCTAGTCTAGATGGATTACCCACTGTGGTGAATGTTCCTTGACTGGCACAGGGTGGAGAAGAAGGCCTTGACCATGCATTGTCTAGGGGTTGTGACTGATCCTCCTCAAAGGTTTGGTTTGAGGGGCTGGTAGGGACGTTCCTTGAGCTCTTCTTTTATTTGCCCTGGCTTGGGAAGGTGATCAAGAGGCTGCATTGAAAAACACAAAAATTTCTTAAAATCTCAAGTGGCTAACCTTCCTGAGGATTTCATTAGGATGTTGATGCTCGATGAGCAGTTGGGTGGAATGGACTAGAGGCCTTCTCATTAGATGGTTGTAGTTTCCAATCTCCTCTTCAGCACAGGCACATTTCCGATGCTGTCCTGCCGGCTCAGCAGCTCACTCCTTAGAGGATATCAGGAACCTAATATCAAGCATCGTTCCCCAGCGTCTCTTTGTCTTGTTCGCACTTATTGTGCACCTTCTTCTCCTGTAGCTGGAGAGAAGCTTTAAGAAAAATGAGCATAGAAACATGAGTACAATACATGGATTGATATAGTTAAAGATGTCAATCCCTACAACTGTGTATGCATTACTCGTCAGACGAATGTGGTGGAGAGGAAGTGAAGTGTCAAAGGGCTCTGAATAAAAGGCAACTCAAAATGCTACTGTTGTTCAAACATTACATGATGTGTGCTCCTGAGATACCTGTAAGTTGCTTAACCTTTTGTCGTTGTGTTCTTGTCCCATGGCAAACTTTGGTGAGAAGCTTTTCAGATATGAATGTTCTGCACATTGAGATGAAAGGTCAGTGGTGTGTGAGCCGCTGAGTGTTATAGCTCCCTTTGTGTTTAAGTATAAACTCGAACAGATGTGTAAGAGGCAGTACCACTGTGATGCCAGCGTGGCAACATTAGCAGCTAAAATGAAGTGACACCCAATCTTGGCACCCTTGTGGGTGACACTCCTCTGTTAGGTTTTGTTACAGTGCTAACTCACATTCATAGGGGCATGGGCATTATATAGTCAGTAGCACCAGCTGATTATTCATCCTCATTGTAGCAATGGAACCGGATTCTCTTGAACCTTCCATGGGTGCAGTCCTCTATAGCTACCACTGCCCTGGCTGCCTTTGTCAGTCAGTTTGCTCCCAGGACAACCCTGAGGAGAACCTCTAGGGGAATATTGCTAAAGCATGAAACAAAAATGAAAATTGCTGGAAAATCACAGCAGGTCTGGCAGCAAGTGTGGAGAGAAATCAGAGTTAATGTTTCAGGTCCAGTGACTGTTCTTCAGAACTTCTGATTCAAGATTGGTTTATTGCTAAAGCATGGGCAGCTTTTGCCTGGTCTCTGACATCTCTAGAGGAGTTGGGGCTGATGAATAGTGATGCTGCTTAGAGATTGAATTGTTGTGTGAGGATGCTTTTCAAATATGGCACCCAGATGTTGGAGCCAAGAAGACCCGAATGGACCTCAGAACATCCTGCCCGTAACACTTGTCGTTTTACCTGTGTATGCAGATGTAATGAGCAGAGGACATCACAATCGTACGTGAATCTAGACCCACTCCTGAGCAGAAGTAACTCCCACTTTTAGGTCCGACTTCACACTTACTGCCCAATATCAAGGCTGCACCCATGTTTCTATGATATGGTATTTTATCTACAAGAATTCTACCAGTTATTGATAATGACTTGATAAATATTGAAGAGTTAAACAACAGTAAAATGCGCACATTTAGACCTGAACAAATATGCATCGCCTGAAGACAAATTTAAAATGAATGATGAGGTCAAATTTTATGATCATTGACAGTCACTGCTGGATACATTAAACTCTTTTCCTATATAGAAGACAGTTTGGCTCAGGAAATAATACTGCAATGCCTTACAAATAGTTTTTTAGAATTTTAAGAGAATTGACAGAATGAGTTGACAGCACACTACCCTTGATAGTACACTGCTGCATTGCTGTAATTTATGTGGATTAACGTTTCAAGTCTGCAATGGGGCTTGACATAAACCTTCTAACTTGGAGGCAGATATATTACCAATTGACACAACCAGGAGGCTCGTACATTAAGTGCTCATACATTATTACATTCCAAATATGCCAGGAGTTAAATAAATATGAATTGGTTATATCACAGCCCATTATTCAACAATTGACTATAATTGGATAATGATGGAATTCTGGTAAATATTACATGGAACACTGCAATATAGTATTTCTCCATTACAGTACTCCTCCTTAATGTCAACATTTCTGGCCACTTGTGAACTCGGTTGACATAAAACATTATCGATATGACTGATCCAAAATGCCATTGGACCACATGGTACATATGTGCTAATAACTTGGCACAAGCAACACCGAGGATATAGTGTGCTGAGTGATAATTTGTTCTATCATTCATTTTCATTTATTAATCAATCAATGTTGTAATTCACTTAAAGATATTGTTTGCTTATAACTAAGGTTTTTAGACACCTTTTTTCTTTGGTAAAAGAAATGTTATCAGGAAAAGCACAGGACAGTTTAGCCAATGTTTTCATTAAGATGATTAACAATGTCAAATAAACAGAAATGAGAATCACAAAATCTTAATGCATTTTTTTATTTGCAGGACGGCAGCTAATCAGCATTCACAACATCAGCAGTCCAGCTCCCTTCTCTAGCAAACTCACACAAAGCAAATATTTTAAAAACAAAATTCAAGCAACACAGTTTGCACTGTAAAACATTGGGAAGCAGGTCATCACCAGTTCATTTTGAAAATAGTTTCAATGATAGTTGCTTAATTCTTGACAAATTGTTTCTTCTCACAGAGACTGGAAAGCTGGCCCAGTCACTCAAATGCTTCCTCGATTGTATTGGTGGCCTGTTGAAAATAGTCAAGCAATGAGTATAATTTATTCAACACTTCAGCACTGGTAACATACCTACAATTTTCCAGTGTACAGTAGAACTAGGAAATGGGGCTCTTGTGGTGCAGTGCTAAGTGTCCCTACCTCTGAGCTAAAAGACCCACATTCAAGTCCCGCCTGCTCCAGAGGTGTGTTGTAATATCTCTAAACAGGTTGGTTAGAAAGTATGCTGCCAGGAAAGGATGCTATTGTGGTGCAGTCGTCATGTGCCTCCCTTTGAACCCAGAGGCCTTGGTTCAAGTCCCACCAGTCGCGAGGGTATATGACATCTCTGAGCAGGTTGATTAGGGAAATGTATGCTGCTGGGCAAGGCTGTCATTTGGATAGGTGGTGCTTTAACAGGTTCATTGTGATAGAGAGTTGGCTCTCCTTTGTCAGTTTACCTTTCGTATGATTTTAACTGCTGATAACAGGTCTTTAGTAGACGACAGTGTTGTTTCTTTAGACGGCAGGTACATCCCAGTCATTTCTTGTCTCAAGCCTGTTGTAACTGCCTGAAAGCAGCCAAACTGGCCCTGATGAAAATAAGGATTATTTCAATGGGTCAAACTGAAAAAAAAAGTTAATGGTGCTGGTAAACTGTCAAAACAAATTCCAGCAATTTTTTCATATTGTGTCTGCACTGATCACCTGCGACTTGATTCAAGAATCTCTGCAAATATCTCAGGCAAGCAACTTGAATATTTATATTCTGTGCCAAATATTCTTGGTGTACATCCAGAGGATTTGTGTTAGACTTTAAACCCAATGTTTGCTGATATTTCAGTATTTTTACAATCTACAAAAAAAAATTAAACAAGAACTCTTGACAAATATTTTCTCTTTGGTTTAAATATTTATTCATAACATAACTCTGTCTGAAATCAATTTTACTTTCTGTCAAAGAGCAGAAACATTGTGACATTTAGTGCTACATCTATTCAACTCATTAGCATTTCTAAAATCAGACCAATTTACTTTATACTTCCTTCCCTCAAATAAAAAGTCTGATCCTCCCCACCCCCTGCCTTAGTGATCCTCTCGCATCTTAAACCACTGTCCTTTTTGATTTGTTAGCCTGAGCAGTAAGTCTACATGCCTGATCTTATTTGACCATTGGAAGGTCATATCTAAACCCAATGTAATCCTTGCTCCCACGTGCACTTCCTTCCCAAGGTTCACTGGAAAGTGATCAGGCTTGGGAATCCCAGGCCAGTTTTTCTGCCACTTAGTGCGAGCCTCTGAGACCGATTGTACTGCCTCAGTTGCTACTTCACTGTGACAAACTTACACAGCACTGAGCTGCAACTGTACCTCAAAAAAAAATACCCATTGATTTATTTCAAAAAGGCAATATCTTATAATTCTATCATTCTCCTGATGCGGAGACAATGATCTTGTAACTCATACACAACTAAAGGCAAAGGCAAAACATTGAATAGGAGTGAAATGGAGGTGTGAAAGCAGGGTTTAAGATTAAGATTTCTCTGGCTTGAGAAATGTGAGGGAGCTGAGAAGGTAGAGACAACAAGGTGCAGGGCTGGATGAACACAGCAGGCCAAGCAGCATCATAGGAGCAGAGAGGCTGAGAAGGTATTTGGGTTTAAGGTTGGACTTTCAGAAAGATGTGGTTCATTGAGTGGCTGCCAGTGGTATAGTACGTTGCACAGACTAAAGCAGGGTGAGAGGAATGGAAAATACACACAGGGCCATATGGCTGTGGAGAATTCTTCTGTTTGGTGAGACCAGGTCGTAGGCAATATTAAGGCACAAACAAGAATCTTGGAAACATGTTACTCAAACATAATACTCTAAGTGAAGTCTAATTTATGCATTATATATGTTCATTATTATCTTTTGTTTTTTTATGATCTGTATGTCTTGAGATGAAACTAACAACTTTATTAGCTTTTGTCAGTCTTATCAACCTATGGTGCCTTTTATAACATCCTTTAAACCAAGCCTAACCCCAAGTCCTCTGCTCTTCCAAGCCTACTGCAATTGGAAATGCTATACTTTTTCTTTCAGAAAATCAAACAACTCACAATTACCCAAACAGAATTAGCTAATTGTTTTTTAACCACCCATCAGCATCTTTTAAAATATATGTCTTTTTTCTCAATTAAACGCAGATTGTCTTAAGCTCTGCAATGGATATGAAATTCTTATCTGGCAGTAGGCTTCATGATAGTCTTTCAACAGTCTCATGAGAAATCCAGTACAGACTCGGATTGACACCAGGTTCTTCAATTTGTGCCTCTTTTTCTCTTCTTCATTACAGAGGCCAACTGTGTGCTCCTGCACCATTACCGCTCTTCCTTCAAGTCCTCACATCTGTTTAGATGGGCTTTCAAGGTTTGTTGTAAAGAAACGTTGCACCCTTATCTTGGTCACACCAGAATCACATTGAAAATTGGTTTGAATCATATCTGTAATCAGAATAAGGTCCGCAGCCATTGTAGACAAGACACTGTTGGACTTGTTTAATTTCTCAATTTTTTTGATAAAGTAATTGTGTTTGTTTGACAATTCTTTCCTCCTTGTCAGTGCCAGCAGACGTTTGACCATTTCCTGTTCCTAGTTTTTCTGCCCACTCTTGCAGACTTTGCTCCATTTTAAATAACTTGGGTAATTCTTGTAGTGCTGCTTTGTTGTAGACAGTGACATGGAGATGCGCAGCTTGTATTTTGGAGGTCACACACGAGCTGGCCATAAACAACACCCTCAGCCTTGTCACTCTGGTGATGTTTGAATGCGTACAGTGTCAAAATCTATCCCTCACCTTGAACATGACAAGTTTCAACAACTGTACTAATTTACAGATGGAGTGACAAGATCTGTAGTGTTCAAAGCACCTTGAGTAAGAAATAATTTACAATTTAGGAGGGAAAAATGCAATGACTAACACTTGTGGAATTTGTTTTAGCATCATTCTTATTTCAAAGACCAAAAACTCTATACTTGAATATAGTTGCTTAGTAAGTTCACAGAAAATTTTGAACAGATGTTTTGCACATAGCTTTGGCATCATGTTGTGGAGAGATATATAATACATTCTCGTAACAGGTCAGGATGATATCTTTTCAAAAAGTTGCTTCCAATCTGAATTTGCCTATACCAGGAATGAGTGCACTGATTGACTGAAACCGCATTAGCAAAGCTAAAGATAAAATCTGGTTTTCCAACATTTTATTTTGAAAGTGACTGCTTGCAGAATATTTTTGTGGAAAACTGCAGAACAATCATGGAAAAAAACAGTATTTTAGCAAATTGGCACAAAAAGAAAAGGCTTGCGAATAGGGACCAATGTTAGGAACGAAAATTAGGCTCAATGAAGATTTGGTTGGATCGGAAATGTCTGATTGACATCACTAAATGGCTTTGAAATAGTCTGCTGAAAACTGGAGCCTTTAGTTAACACTTTCAAACCCAACCTGATCTTCAGTAGTGTTCGTATTCAAACACTGAATCATTTTTTAAAAATAAAGTTGCGCATGAACATTCAAGTTAGGAGCCAGTGTCCGCAAATTGGCCCCTTAAGCCTGCTCTGTTGTTAAATAAGATCATGGTTGATTTGATTACTGTACATTTCTGCCTATCCTCAATAACATTTTACTTCCTTGCTTGTGCAGAATTGATCTATCTCCGACTTAAAAGTTTTCAAAGACGTAGGATCCTTTCTGAGAAAAATGTTCTCATCTCTATTTTAAATGGTGCCCCCTTATATTTAAACAGTGACCCCCCTGTTTGTAGATTGGCCCACAGATGAAACATCCTTTCACATCCATCTTGTCAAAACCTCAGCATCGTAGGAGTTTTGATCAAGGCACCTTTTATTTCGACACTTTGGCAGATACAAGTCTAGACGGTCCAACCTTCCTCCATAAGATAAGTAAAACATCCATCCCAAATATTAGATAGTCAAGCTTCTCTGAATCGCTTCCAATGCATTTACATCCTTCCTTAAATAAGCAGACCAGTGGTGCATGTAGGACTCCAAATTTGATCTTATCTGTGCTTAAATAGCTCAAGTAAAACATCCCTACTTTTGTATTCAATTTCCCTTGTAAAAACAAAAACATTCTATCAATTTCCTAATTACTTGCTGTACCTGCCCATTAACTATTGTGATATATGCATGAGGACACCCTGATCCCACTGCATCTCAGAGCTCTTCAATCTGTCACAATTTGATTAATATGTTTCTGATTTATTCTTTCTGCCAAAATGGAAAATTTTACATTTTCCCACATTACAATCCATTTGCCAAATTGGTTCCCACTCATTTAACCTGTCAGTATCACTTTGTAACTTCCTTCTTCACAACTTACTTTCCTAACTACCTGGATGCCTTCATATTATGTAAGTATGTAAGAAATGGAGGCTCCACCTTTGGCTCAGTGTTATGACCAGGTGAGGAAAGATGATTTGACTCCCCTCTTTTTAATCCCTTCTTGGTCAGCCGTAATACATTTTTTTTTATTTCTATTTAATATTTCACTATATCACATGCCAATTAAAAATGTTGTTGACTAGATGGAGGTAAGTATTTCTTGAGTGGAAGAATTAAGAATTGTATTACCTATTAATCCTGAGAAAAATAAAGGTGATGTCAAAAACACACGCAAACATAGCCAATAAATTTTAAAAACGGAGAGAGTCCCTGGTCCAGATAGAATGATAAAAGGCTACATAGTTTACTAATCCTTAGAGTCCTGGGGTATTAGATTTTTAAACTGAGACCACAGTTGTTTAAATGTTGACTTATATCCTCATCAATGGCAAAGTCTGAAGAATTCTTTGTGCTCACAGTGAAAAGTTATTTTCCCAATTTGCTTTTTCACTGGACTTTGTCTTCAGACTTGCTGAGAGACACGGGTAGCAATTTCCATATCTTGCTGTTGCAGATTCATTTTGCTTCTCTTTGCTGTGCTGCTCAAATATAATTAAATGTTAAACTACAGTTCAGTGTCAATTCCAGAGGCTAGCCCTATTGTCTTTCCAAGATGGCTAACCGGCAGGTAAGCCTTTCCTCCCCCAGTATGTGAAATTATCATTCAAAAGTGAGTTATAGCAGGACATAAAGATCCCTAGCGCCTTTTTGTAGATAAAAATGGTCACTTCAGTTCAGATGGTTTTATTTATTCCACATTGGTTTCCTGGACTTGCCTCAATCTGTGGTCAGGTGATCATGGCAGCTATTTTAGGTCATTATTTGTTCTTTATATTAATGCCATCTTAGTCCATGAAAGGTCTTGGGTATTAAAATCACATGATGAAAGTTGAGTATTGATAGTCCATCTTTAACCATTATAGTAAGAACACCACCAGTTAGACCTGGCCAAATATGCTTACATCTTGCTTGTAACTTGTTAATATTGTGGAAAATATTCAAACTAATCCATCATTGGAAAACACAAAAAAATGTCACCAGTGCCTTCGTTATTTATCAGCCATCAATTTTGAAGTGGAAAAATTTTGCAAAATCGTCTGTTCTTACTGCACATTCTGTTAATACATGCAAGAAGACGTTAGTCATCTCTATTAGATTTAAAGCAAACTTAAAATATATTTTACACTGTTTAATTTAGGATGTTACAACTGTGAAAGAAGTTCTTTTCCACTTTTCAATTAGGTTGTCTCAGCATCAACGCTGCCAGGTCAGGGAGAGCATAATTCAATGTAGTTAAAGTTTTGTCTATTCTGCAACAGATTTGCCTCCAAATTAGATACTGCAGTTCTCAGGATACCACTGTAGAGGTTTCCACTTTACATTCCAATGTCACCAATGAGATTGGCAAATTAGTCTCACTTTTGTGTATGTATCTATGTCTACCACCATCATTGTCCATTTGGAGGATGATTTAATACTTTTTATTGTCTCAGATTGTATACTGGTGACAACCGTCCTCCAGTTGAAACATGCGAGAAATAGAATTGATTTTTAAAAATTCATGAGATGATCCCAGGCTTCAGATACTGGTGTGGTCATCACATGAAGATTCAGTTGTAGAAATTTGATGTTATGGCCACTGTTGGTAAGGAAACATCCTTCTTGGTTCTTGCATTTCAGGGAAAGTTTCACACTGCACTCTGACTTCAAATGGAATATCCTTTAAAATTGAATAATGAATGTGCATGTGCTGGTGGGGGAAGGGCCTTGCCCTGCATGAACATATACAGCCATATATAACACATTGAAAGCCAAGCAAGGACAGTCGATGAAATACTTGCATTGTCAGCAGCTACATCTCGCAGCCTGAAATTCATTCAACCTAACATGCTAACATTGTGATTCGTTGGTTATCTGTGTTTTTCCTGGTATCACAGTAAATACGGCAAGATTTAAGTGTGGACTTCAATATGTCTTTGTATTGCTCCATCTGTTCTGCTATCCCCTTATTATGCAACAGTGCACAGCAACATGGGAACCATTGAATATACTCATGGCTCCAGCCACAAAGGAAACAAATGTATAGAAATTCACAGCCATGGTCACTTTCAAAGCCCCTCAAGGTGACATCCTAGTTTGCCTCTGAGATTGTAGTAGTGGCCACAGCAGGCAGCAGATTTTAGAAAGGACTTCCTTAGTGAAGCAGGGAGTTGTGACACACTGTTCCTCACTGAGGTTCAGATAGGAGAATTGCGTCTTGAACACCCTGGATATTGCCTCCTTCTGAGAGCTTTTCACCCCATGCTCGTCCAACAACTCGTCCTGCTCTGTGTCATATCTGTTAATTTTTCTTACGTGTGAAACAAACGGTTTGTGTAAAATCTTTGAAGTCAAGCCAAAGGTCTTCAACACATGCCATACTACGTGTAGTCTTCAGGAACTTTAAACACTCCGGAAACCACAAAACACTTCTAAACACACACGAAAAGCCAGTACAATTCAATCAGTCATTAACCTAAAAGTGATTGATTTCTTTGTTAGTACTAGTCACGTTTCCCATGTGCTGCTCACTGAAGTGTGCCTGCCTAAATAACTGGTGGAGGGACAGTTGGCTGAAACACGTTGCCTACAATGACAGCAATGTCATCAAATACGTATTTAAAGATCATTATCTTCACAGTGACTATCTTTTAACGTTTCGACCATTTGCACTCTTGCCTGTTGTGCAACAAAAATTAAGAGGATGATGAAGTGTTATTTTGGAAGAATTCACCATTATAACTAATATAGAGCATGACAAAGAGTTTGGAAATCATTGTATCTGCTACCTCAGTTTATCCATTGATCCACATTGATGTTTATAAATCAGAATTACAAAAGTGGGAGTAGCCAATAAGTTTATTTTTCATTCATTCTATTCCTGACAGTTATTTACCAATTTTACGGCTGTAAAGAACCCCAAAGCAGTGTTCAGAAAGCGCACTAGCAATAGTAAGGCAAGAATCACAGTTCTGACTCCATAGAGAGGCTTCTGAATGTAAATTCAGGCTTTGGGTACACATATTGTTCTTCATCGTGCTCTCCATTGTTATTTGGAATGACCATGCTCTCACACTTTCCATCTTCACTGTCCAATCCAGCTACCGTGAGCACATTGATGCTATGTTCTGGTGTGGAATACAATGTCTTGGCACTGCATTCTGGTGTTGTCACTTCTTCAGTTTTGTGAAACTGGGAGTAGTTAACTTTATAGTAACTTGGCTTGTTTTTGAGAACTTCATTAAAGTGGTGACCCCATAGGATTTCCAGAGGAGTGTATGAGCTTCGAGACTGATGAGTATTTCCTGTTGAGTCCTCAGAATAGACAAATGTAACTATGATTTCAAAGTCACCTTCAGCTAAGTCTTTCTTATTAAGGTCATAGAGTGGACTGTTTTCATTGATTTCATGTACAATAGTGACAGGACTAATGAGAATGATATTGCCTGTGACTATTTGCAAGTCCTGGTGTTCCACAGATAGCTTATTGTCATCGTATACCGTAAATTGGAGTAATTGAGCTCTAACAGTACCTTCAATGATGTGGCTCTCACGAAAATCTCCAATACGCCACATCATGCATAGTTTCCCATTTCTTACAGCTATCACTGCGTTATTGCTAAACCTAATTGTTTGAGCTCTCTTTCTGGCTTTGGACATTTTCGCTACTACAACGCCAATGATAAATGTGTTAATTAAACAACTTATCACTGATTGGAAAGTGACCATAGAAACAGCAAAAGGGCATTCTTCTGTCACACAGCGAGATCCATAACCAATAGTTGTTTGTGTTTCAATAGAGAACAGGAAAGCAGCAGTGAAGCTGTGAACCTCGACAATACAGGGCACTAGATTTTCTTCTTCAATTTGCAGATCTCCATGGACAACTGCTGTGATCCAATAAACAAAACCAAAGAAGAGCCATGACAATATATAGGACAAGGAGAAAATCAGAAACATTTGTCTCCATTTGAGATCTATGAGTGTTGTGAAGATATCGGAAAAGTAGCTTTCCCATTCACCAAATGCACGTTTAAAGTGGATGTTGCAGTTCCCATCTTTGCGGAGAAACCGTTTTCTGTATCTTCTTTTGTTGACTGGTATATAGCAACCATTTTTTAGAAAATTCTTATGATCATCCTCAGAGCTCACAGTTTGATAATTTAAATTGATGAAATTCATTTTAAATCCTTCTGTTAATGTTCTGACTTGCTCAGAGCTGCTTGCAGGTTATCTTCAGGGAGTTTGATTCTTTTAATTAACTTATCCAAAGAGGTAAATGTCTCTTGCAGTAATCACATTGGCCTAGAGGAACAAGATGAGAAATGTCAGTTTAACACACTGTAGCTATTGATTTTGACAGGATTACACAGTGACCAATGTCACAAAGCTCCATTCATAGGCTATAGAAGAATAGGAATATTGGCAAATGTTATAGAGATTGATAAAGTCATACAGCATGGAAATAGATCCTTCGGTCCAACTTGTCCACGCTGACCAGATATCCTAAACTTCACTAGTCATTTGTCTGCACTTGGCCCATATTCCTCTAAATCTTTCCTGTCAATGTACCTGTCCAAATGTCTTTTAAATGTTGTAATTATACCCACCTCAACCACTTCCTCTGACAGCTCAGCAACACCTCCTCCATGATGATCCTCAATATCGGTGCCCCGTAAGGCTGTACACTCAGCCCCCTGCTATACTCCTCATATACTCATGACTGTGTGGCCAAATTCTGCACCAAATCCATTTACAGGTTTGCTGATGACACCACCATTGTAGGTTGGATCTCAAATAACGACAAGGCAGAGTAGAGGAAAGCGATTGAGTGCTTAATGGTGCGGTGTAAACACGACAGTCTCTCCAGCAATGTCAGCAAAATGAAGGAGCTGGTCATTGACTTCAGGAAGCAGAGTGGAGGACACGCCCCTGTCCGCATCAATGGTGCTGAGGTGGAGATGTTTGATAGCGTCAAGTTCCTGGGATTGATGATCACCAACAATCTGTTCTGGTCCACCCACATTGACACTACAGTCTAGAAAGCACAGCAACACCTCTACTTCCTCAGGAGGCTAAGGAAATTAGGCATATCCACAAAGGCTTTTACAACTTTTTATAGATATACCATAGAAAGCATCTTTTCTGGATATCAGTGTGGTATGGCAACTGCTCTTCCCAGGACCAAAAAAACTACAAAGAGTTGTGAACACGGCCCAATCCATCATGCAAACCAGCCTCTCATCCATTGACTTCATCTAGACTTCCTATTGCATCAGGAAAGCAGCCGACATAATCTAAGAGCCCTCCCACCCTGGTTATACTCGTTTCCACCCTCTTCTGTTGGGCAGAAGATATAAAAGTTTGTATACACGTGCGAATAGATACAAGAACAGCTTTTTCCCCGCTGTTATCAGACTTTTGAATGGACTTCTTTAATGTTAATGTTGATCTCTCTTTTCACCTTCCCAGTAGCTGTAACACTGTGTCATTCTCTTCAGTTACCCTGATGCACCTGTATATGATCTGCCTGTAAAGCACAAAAGACAATATTTTCCACTATACCTCAGTATGCGCGGCAGTAATAAATCCAATGAAATCAAATCAACCCTCTATGTCAAAAAGTTGTCCCAAAAGACTTTGGCTATTCACCCTATACATGCCCCTCATGAATTTATAAATCTCTATAAGGTCACCCTTCAGCCTCCAACAGTCCAGGGAAAAAAGTCACTGCCTGTCCACCACTCCTTATAAATCAAACCCTTCAGTACCAGAAAGAAAGCAGAACCCTGTTTACAAATACGTTCTTAAATCTGAATGATGGAACTATACAAATTCAAAAATAGTTGTGATTCTTACTAATTTTCTCTGATGTAAGGGAAACTATTCTTCATATGCTGGCCAGATGTATAATATATCAAGATTTATAATATATCAATATTATTTGGTAACTTATAAATTGGAGGTAAATAGGCTTTTGGTTTTCCATCCTGTGAAGGGGAGGATTTTCTTGAAGAGTTAGAAACTTATATTTTTGACAGTGAGTCAAAACAGCACTTTTCAAAAATCATATGTCTTAAACTAAATGACCAGACAAGCTACCTGGTGAGATAATTGCTGAAATACAACCAAGTTGAGTTTAAAGCCCAGACAGAGACTGATAGAGAGGCCAGAGGTCACAAGCAGCTTAAGTTATGCACATAAGATCCATACCAGTGGATGTGCTGTTGATCAGCTTCAAAATGTTCAAAGTTACAGTTTAATGGTAAGAGTCATAACAAATTTTGACGTGAAGATTGGAGTGATAAGGGGTTGAATGTCTATAAAGGATATAGCTGAGATAAAAGATTGAATGTAACCTTCACTGGTCATGGTAAGATCATTTCAAATTGTCACTATCTTTTTCTTCTTCTGTGTCATAAAACTATGTTCTGTTGTTAAAAGTACATTGGCAGCCTCTTGTGAATATGTTCTATGACCAACCACAATGGCAACCAAATTAAAAAGTAGTTAGTCTTATGGCCTACCAAGCCAGGTTTCAACTCTAGAATCTGACTTGTCCAATATTACCATCAGCTGGAGCCATAGTAGAAAGTCTATTTTGTAAACAGAAGTTAAACTGTGCCTGACCTGCCTCATGAGATGGATGCAATTCTTCTCATCAGACTATTCTAATAACAGGGTATTCTTCCAATCAACATTCCTCCATTAGTCAACCTCACAAAAATAAATTGTATACTCCTTCACCTCATTTAGTCTTTTGTGTGTTGAACAGTGATTACCCTTCAAAATACAATTAATTGACGACAAAGTTATTTGCAACAGCCTGGGGAAATGAAAGGCACTGTATCACTGCAATGTTTTCCTTTTAAAAGGAAAGATTTGCCACTGAGGCACAGTAAGCAAATGAACTCCTTCTGTGCTATATCATTCCACAATTGTATGATTCTACAATAAAAAGATCTCAATTTTCAATGGTTACACCATTAAGGTCTGCTTCACATTTTAAACATCTTTTTAGCATCAGTTTTTACATTTGCGTCACAAGCATGTTGAACATTTTGTAAGTGTTTCAAAATTAATTGACCCACAATTTGGACTTCATATATAAGTTCCTTCCTTTGAGGCAAATTAAGTTAAGCCCCAGAAAAAGTGGAGTACCTTTGATGCGTAAATGGATTCACTTCCTCCATTTAATTCTTAAAACAAGCTGTGGGGAAGCATACTTAGCACGCTAAGTACACAATGTAATTTATTTGTCACAATTGTCCGATGCAAAAGTCATGCTGTGTATACAACTGGTCGTATGGATAATATCACATTGATGTTTGTCCAAAAGATGTGTGTAAGCTTAGCTGAGAAATTTTAAGGGAATAGGAGCAAAGTTATTGAATGAGTCATTCGGAGTCGTGTAATAATAATATGAATTAAAATCTCCTCGTGGCAGCTGGGCAATTTAAAATCCCTTAAAAAATGAATCTTGAACTAAAAAACTAGTTTCAGTAATAAATACCACATAACGATTAACTTTCATGATGAGGGATGAATTAAAGATTTTTATCTCTAATCAAATTAAGGTGGATCTGCCAGGCTCCCTGAAACACTCACAAACTTGGTCTCATCAATCCAAGCACAAACTCCCATCTGCTTTCTGCATGACAAACCAGAGACTTGCTGCCTCTATCCCTCTGCTTTGTTTCACTCTTTAATCCTTGTAGATTGTCCCTGTCGCTGAGTTTCCATGATACTTTTAGGAAAACATGCACCCTGATCCGAGATCGACTTTGTGTGGACGCTACCCCTCTCAAAATCCATCTCCATGGCAACAGGAATCACATAGGCTTCAGATCCAGGTAGAAATGTTAATTAGCTATCCTTGACATATCCAGCAATTCAAATTCTACTTTGAAATTAAGGAGACAATTTAAAGTATGACCATTTGCAAAACCTGATATTTGTAACACTTCCCTTGAACATGAGCACTAACAGCTCATCCATGGTTGGAATGGTTGCTTAGCTATTGTTTACAGCTATGAACATTTCGCAGCTCTTTCTCTCATCCTTTAATCTTTAACAAGCAACATACCCAAGCCTGATGCCAGTAGGATTCAAAGCAGGTCACATGATCTTTTTCCATTCCCACATTTTACTCTAAATTAGAGATATAATCCCAAAACCTTTCAATCATTTATAACTTTAAATTTGTAACAGCAACATGAAGTCCAAAAGTGTTACTAAGTCCAGGCAGGTTCCTGGAAAATGTGAGCCATTTTTCATATTTTAGGATCTTCCTTTAGATGACAAAATTAATCACCCCCTGCAATGTGCAAGACTAGCCTTCAGACAACAGATCTCAAACACAAAACCATATCAGTGTTTACCAGGCAACGCTGATCCCCATGCTCCATTGTGCTTCAGACAACTTACAGCAAGTACCTGAAAGCAGTCGGAATGTACCACTAGTTGTGTTATCACAGGATCCTCCAAGTCTAGTGGTATGAAACGCAGTCCATCTGCCGACTCTCCTCCCAGGCCAACCCGCCCAGCTTTGAGGAGCTAATGGGTCAAAACCAGCTTGACGGAGTGGATATGTCACTTGCCTGCCTGGCATCAAACTCCAAAATTAACTGCTCCACTTTAAGCTTGAACGGGCTAGAATACATCCAGGACAAGAAAGCACTTCAGGGGACACTTTGAGGAGATCTCTGAAAGGTCGCTGCTAACTCATGGCTGTTACTGGCTTGTGACGATCAAAATGGTGAAGGTACATACAGGAAGGCATCAAATACATCGAGAGTCTTCAATGGGAGTGTGCAAAGTTGTGACGTTGGAGAGAGCTTGTAAACCCCTGACAACACATCCGCCCAAGGATTCAAGCACATTCCACCTGGCACATGGCACTGTCTGCATGTTGAGCATCAGAACCCATTGAACCAGAATGGGAACAAGTCACCGTCATTCCTGAAGGACTGCATCAGAGAAGAAGGAAAGGAAGTTTTGATTGTTTTTTGACATTCCTGCCCCCACTTCATGAGGCAAATACATGCAGAAACACCCCCAGGCAATGCGAACTTGAAAGACGCAGGACACCAACTGAAAACAATTGTCCAGTTTGTCAGAGAAGAAGTATGCAGCCAGCCAGTCACCACTATTTCCATTACTTATCTGCCAAGAACCAGTTACTAGCACTATGCAACAATGTAATGCTAAATATTCCTTTTCATTATTGTACTCGTGGTGATGACAGGAAACATGTTGAGGGATGTGACCAATGCTGACATGGACTGGCAGGAGACAATTTTTATCCCAATTTACCATATTATTGCAATCCATTCTTAACAGGACAAGCTAAAGCTGAAT